GTAAAAGCTGGTATCTCTGGGTATTTACAATGTCCCCTGCAACAGAAAAAAACCCTCTCATTTGGGACTGAGGTTTCTGGGACAAGAGAGATATGACTTGGCCCAGGTTGACAGCAGTGGGTAACGTTGTGCATTGTCTTTCCCCCACTTGAGAGGATAAACCATGAGTGAGATAGAGATCTCATGTCTGCATCAATCTGAACAGTGTGCTGTGTTTCTGCAGTCCCCATGACTGATTATTAGTCGTATTCCCCAACTTGCAGGCACGTGCACACACAGGGCTCAACCTGTGCAGTGCACATGCCCTTTTTAGTCTTGGATAGAAAGTGCCCTTCCAAAATGATCAAAAGTGCCCCCGCGACACGACATACCCTCCGTCCCCGCTTTACAGTACGCGCGCGACAACACAGCTGATCAGAACGCGTGCGACAACACAGCTGATAAGAACTCGCGCGACAACACCACTATTCAGTACGCGCGCGACAACACAGCTGATAAGAACTCGCGCGACAACACCGCTATTCAGTACGCGCGTGACAACACAGCTGATAAGAACTCGCGCGACAACACCACTATTCAGTACGCGCGTGGCGACAACACCCGCTTTAGGGTTTTCCAGCTCTTTTTCATCCCCGCTTCTAGCAGCACACTCCATTTCCGCATTACTGGATCTGTAGCGACAACAGACCGCAAGGGATTATGGCCAAGCCTGGGCTGATGGGAATTGTAGTTTCCACTACCTCCCGTTTGCTTCATTCGCCTGAGCAAATTTTCTCAGAAGACCTATAGTTTTACCGAGTCATGCGACTACGGTAACATCGAAAAAAAATAATATTGCGGTATTACGGTATTTACAATACCGTTACATCCCTAATATATATAATATATATATGTATGTATGTATGTATGTATGTGTGTGTATATATATATATATATATATATATATATATATATATATATATATATATATATATATATATATATATATATAAATAGCTTTTTAAAAAAAATATTACTAAATTTCACATTACATTAATATCTATTGTGCAAATAAATTGAATGAACAGTAGCTACGCTAATTATTTTCTTTATTCTCTTTTTCACCGCCTCTAGATTGTGGAGTGCCACTTGATCAGATTCAAGACCTGCGTAGAAATGATGCCAATCCTATGAGGACTTGAAAAGATGATGGCAATCATCTGAGAACTTCAAGGCAAACATTCAATACACAAATACATTTCATAGTACATGTATTATTATTACATGTAAATATATTTTTTTGGAAGGATGCTGCATATACTGTATAACTGCACATTAACTGCATTTCATACTACCAACCCTATACACAACCCCTTCTGATCTTGACTGTAATATAATGATGTGGACCTTTTGTGAAGCTGCTTTATAATGATAATAATTTTGAAAAGTGATACATAAGTAAACTTAAATTGAATCTTATTTTGATAAAAATTATGCAGAATGAGAAAACATTTGAAACATGAGGTGCAATTTTTTATTCTAAGCTAAAAATGTGCCTCTGTCTAATGCTTGTCATTTAAAAAGCGAGATAGTTTATTTTATTCCATTATAAAATGCATGCAATTTAGTGATCAGCAGGATCTTGGAAAAATGTTCAGCATTTTAAAAGTACTTTAATAGCATCTGGTTGACTTTTAAAATAATAAGCTACAGTATAGGTCCATTTACATTGTGAAATACAGTGCTCTGTTGCTGCTTCTCATCAATTAATTGAATACAATACTGTTTGAACTTAATGATGTAAGGCATAATTGACAACAGCCACTGAATTAAATATTAATAATAATGCACATCTGGATGGTGATGCATTACTTCCAGGAGTGCATTTTTTTCTGAGTCCATTATTCCTCTTATACTACAACTACCATACTTGAGACATTGATCTGACGTTGGATATCAAGAATCCTTTTGATTGAATTTGATTTTTGACTTGTCAGCATTGAAATTACTCAGCGTAGTGATATGGAACTGTAACGCACTACTACTTTAGCTGCGTGTTTATTTGAAAATAATTGCACACCTTAGAATCAGCTAATTAGAATCAAGCATTCAACATCCATGTAATATAATCTTGTTTGACCTTCTTTCCTTGATTAACCTTCATTTGCTTCTCTACATACTCCTCTCTTCTCATTTGTGATACAGGTTTGTCCAACGCCCCTCCTCTTCCTTTTTCCTTTGGAGCTAAAGATTAGGAGCTGAGGTCAGTATGTGTGTGTGTGAGTGCCACATCATCAAGGCCATTACCTCTTGCACTGGAGCTGATTATCATTTCCTCATCCTTTTATAGCCTAGCACTTATTAAACACTCCTGGTGTATGAACTATTTCATACTGAAAAAACCAACCTGTGCATTGATTGCCCTGCTTCTGTCCTTTCTGCAGCAGTCAGTTTAATTATTCTCACATCCGGTTTCACAGTACAGATCGACAGATAGAGTTCCAGCTGACGCTGCTGCGTATCCTTTCACGAGAATGTGCCAAGTCAGAACCTATGAACAACAATAAGCAGGTGTTATGAATTTCTAGGTTTGCAGATTGTACAGTGTATCTGGAAAGTATTCATAGCGTTTCACTTTTTCCACATCTTTTTTTTATGTTGCAGCCTTCCAAAATGGATTACATTAATTTATTTCCTCAAAATTCTACACACAATACCCCATAATGACAATGTGAATAAAGAGTTTTTGAAATTTATTAAAAATAAAAAAAAAATAAAAAATCACATGTACGTCAGTATTCACAGCCTTTGCTTAATACTTTGTTGATGCACCTTTGGCAGCAATTACAGCCTCAAGTCTTTTTGAATATGATGCCACAAGCTTGGCACACCTGTCTTTGGGAATTTTTGCTCATTCCTCTTTGCAGTACCTCTTAAGCTCTATCAGTTGGATGGGAAGCGACGGTGTACAGCCATTTTCAGATCTCTCTATAGATGTTCAATAGAATTTAGATCTAGGCTCTGGCTGGGCCACTCAAGGACATTCACCGAGTTGTTGTGAAGCCACTCCATTGATATTTTGGCGGAGTGCTTTGGGTCATTGTACTGCTGGAATATGAACCGTCGCCCCAGTCTGAGATCAAGAGCACTCTGAAGCAGGTTGTCATTCAAGAGGTCTCTGTACATTGCTGCATTCATCTTTCCCTCTATCCTGACTAATCTTCCAGTTCCTGCAGCTGAAAAACATCCCCACAGCATGATGCTGCCACCACCATGCTTCACTGTAGGGATGGTATTAGCCTGGTGATGAGCAGTGCCTGGTTTTCTCCAAACATAACGCCTGGCATTCACTCCAAAGAGTTCAATTTTAGTATCATCAGACCAGAGTATTTAGTTTCTTATGGTCTGAGAGTCCTTCAGATGCCTTTTGGGAAATTCCAGGCGGGAAGTGACTTCCGTCTGGCCACTCTACCATACAGGCCTGATTGGTGAATTGCTGCACAGATGCTTGTCCTTCTGTAAGGTTCTCCTCTCTCCACAAAAGAACGCTGGAGCTCAGACAGAGTGACCATCAGGTTATTAATTACCGCTCTGACTAAGTCCCTTCTACCCCAATCACTAAGCTTAGATGGCCGGCCAGCTCTAGGAAGAGTCATGGTGGTTCCAAACATCTTCCACTTACAGATGATGGAGGTTACTGTGCTCATTTGAACTTTCAGGGGAGCAGAAATTTTTCTGTAACCTTTCCCAGCCTTGAGCCTCGAGACCATCCAAACTCGTAGGTCTACAGACAATTCCTTTGTCTTCATGCTTGGTTTGTGCTTTGACATTCACTGTCAACCCTGGGGCCCTATATAGACAGGTGTATGCCTTTTCAAATCATGTCCAATCAACTGAATTTACCACAGGTGAACTCCAATTAAGCTGCTGAAACTGATCAACATGTAAAAGCGATTTTTCAGGCTTTTAATTTTTAATAAATCTGCAGCAATTTTAAAAATATATTTTTTCACATTTTCATTATGGGGTATTGTGTGTAGAATTTTGAGGAAACAAATCAATTTAATCTATTTTGGAGTAAGACTGTAACATAAATAAATGTTGAAAAAGTGAAGCTCTATGAATACTTTCCGGATACACTGTACTTTATTGAACAGTAGCTACAATTTTCATACAAAAATGTATGTTTCAGTGCATTGCTAGAGTGCCTTGTTTGGTTTCTAGATTGTTCTGAGAAACAGTAAGTGATTTTTTTTCTTAGTAGGCAAAACTAAAAGAATTTCATTCTAGTTTTAAACCATAATTTACATTTAGGCACCCAATAGCTATTTCATTTTTCCTTTGGTGAATGCTTTGCTAAATTCCCTCTTAGCAGGATCTCACACTTCAACAACCCTATTGATTTCTTGCTGTTGCTTAACAAAAAAACATACTCACTTTCCCCATATTGGACTGTTCATCCTACCTGTAGATCCAGAAAAGTTATTCATTGTAATATTTATGTACATACAAAATACATTTGTATCACTGATGTGTATTTGTCAAGCAAAACATCCTCCGTTTAAAAATATGCATTGTATTTTATTGTGTCTGCCTGCCCCCTACTGTTCAATTTGGTAATAAAACATGCATGAGTACACGTGTGGACGTCAATCAAAACGACACAATCACCTACACTGATTAATGTGTTACCTTGAAATATGTGACTGTCATCCTCTCTTCCTGTGTTCAGTGGGGGTTGCTGATTAAAGCCAAAGTCACAGGAGAAGCATAAAGGAAAACAGCTTATAGAGCAGGTGGTGCTCTCGGTCAGGGGTTTGTGTAGCAGTATCCCAAATGGCAGCAAACTAGGGTGACCACTGTGCATCTCAATGGCTGACTTATGAAAGGTTATTTTTATCCTGTGTCAGGAAAGAAATGTGTTCTTTCTTTAGCTATCTTTCACTTAAGCTCAAATGACAGATCGAGCATGTCTGGGAAATACTAATTTGTCAGAAAAAAAGAGACAGTTGCTCTGAATAGCAAGCAGCTATTGTGTTCAGATATTTCATTTATTCCTCCCCAGTCGTTCAATCCTATTTGGCTCAGGGATGCTCTTGTTAAAGTCTATGAAGTCCTTGAGAGGCATCTTTTTTCAAAGTTTTTCTTAAAGCTGTAATGCAGAAAAGAAAAAAATATATATATTTTAAAAAATGAATTATCTATCTATCTGTCTATCTATCCATCCATCCATCCATCCATCCATCCATCCATCCATCCATCCATCCACATCAGCATTGTAAAAACTCCAACTCACAAATTGTAAACCCAGTTTATTTTTGAGGTCAGTGGTGAGAGTTTACTCATTTACATTATTTAACTGCATGTTTAGAACTGTTTTTCAATGAAAATAAAGAAATCTGTTAAGGAGACGTAAAATTTTGATTTCTACATTTAAGTGTCTAATTCCTGCACAGTCAAACATTAAAAGTTGAGTTAACTTAAAATTTTAAAGCAACCAGCTGCAAAGAAATATTGAGTTTTTAAACTTCAGTGGTTGAAGTTGTGCCAAATTATTTTTTTTTTAATTGAGTTGAATTGACTTATTCCATTAAGTAAACTTGACTTAAACCAGCCTTTTCAGTCGACTTAATGCATTTGGCACTTATTTGGCACAAATTTTGAATAAACTCCCAATTTAAAGGTTGAATAAACTCTCAATTTATTTTCTAAGTTGATTGATTGATTCATTCATTCATTCATTTTCTTTTCGGCTTAGTCCCTTAATATTAATCAGGGGTCACCACAGCGGAAGGAACTGCCAACTTATCCAGCATAGTTTAACGCAGCGAATGCCCTTCCAGCCGCAGCCCAAAACTGGGAAACATTCACTCACACTCATTCACACTCATACACTACGGACAATTTAGCTTACCCAATTCACCTATACCGCATGTCTTTGGAATGTGGGGGAAACCGGAGCACCCCAAGGAAACCCACTAAAACACGGGGAGAACATGCAAACTCTACACAGAAATACCAACTGACCCAGCCAGGGCTAGAATCAGCGACCTTCTTGCTGTGAGGCGAACATGCTACCCACTGCACCACCGCGTCGCCCTGAGTTAACTCAACTTAAAAAAAATATTTAGCACCACTTTAAACACTGAAGTTGACTAACCTCAAAATTGCTTTGCAGCCGGTTGCTTTAAAATTTTAAGTTAACTCTACTTTTTTTTTTTTTTACAGTGCATCTATCTATGCTTGTCTTTCTGTATATTGTAAACCACTAGCCACAGATATCCATAGTAGGAAAAAACACAATGGAATTCAATGGAAAACAGTTTGAAAAATTCAATTGGGCAGGAGAAGGAACATTCACACACAGAAGACATGCACAGGTTATAGAAAAACTCCAACAATACTTAACCATGACATTGTTTTGGTATTGTTCCATTTACCTTTTTTATACAGAAGAAGCTGGCATTGAAGCAGGTGGTCTTTATTTTCCCTTCCCGTTGTTTTTATTTTTTGGAAGATTTTTAACTTTGGATGTAATCAATTGAACAATTCTAGCATTGCCATAAATCATAGCAATGTCCAAGCAATTTTGCCCTGGGAAAACAAACATTGTGTTGACTATTTACTTAAAAAGAAAATTAAACAAAAAATACATATACACATTCACTAAATGTCCAAATGTTTGGGCTGAGTAAAATTGTTTACCATCAATGATATACATGTCATTTCATATTAACTGTATATTTGTTTGGTTGAATTAATGTCTGCTATTTGGAAGGAATGACGTTGTGGTGCATTTATGAAGTGTGCTTCACACACAGGTGAGAGGGCTTGACAAACCACCTTTAGAAACACTCTTCTCACTATAAAAGAAACACTCTCCTCATCTTACCCTAGCACTTAATTATATGAGCACTAACGGTTCCCTTGGTATAATTAGCACTTCTTTTGTTTATTGTCTTGATTAATCGCTGAATACCTCCTCAATTGTAAGTCGCTTTGGATTTTAAATATACTCAGCCCAAGACTGCAAAATCCATCATGAAGGTCAATTTTTGGAAAATTAGATTTATACATAATTTCCCAAAACAAAACACAACAAAAGGTAGAAGTATTTACTGTAAATATCACAACCAGTACCTTGTTTATTTTCTGCCATGACATTGGCTCCAGCTGTGATGAGACACTCTACACTGCTGAATCGACAGCTTTCAATAGCTCTCATGAGTGGAGTCGCTCCATTCATTGCCACTGCATCCACCACGGCTCCGGATTGCACCAGCATGTTGATAATGTCTACATGACCAGCATGGCAAGCATGGTGGAGAGGCGTCCAGCTAAACTGGTCAACTGCATTGACGTCAGCCCTATGAAATCCCAAAAGCAAAATATTCTTAATATTACAATCATTCATTCATTCATTTTCTTTTCAACTTAGTCCCTTTATTACTGGGGTCGCCACAGCAGCATGAACCACCAACCCACTAAGCATGTTTTACGCAGTGTATGCCCTTCTAGCTCCACCCCAGTTCTGGCAATCATCTGTACTCTCTCATTCACACTCATACCCTACGGACAATTTAGCATACCCAATTCACCTATAGTGCATGTCTTTGGAATTGTGGAGGAAACCCACACCAACATGGGGAGAACATGCAAACTCCACACAGAAATGCCAACTGATCAACTGGTGCTGTATGTAAGTCTTTTTAAATTAATGCATAAACATACTATAATAAATTTGCAGCTATTTAAAAAACATCACAAGTTAACAAACTAGTTCATCTGAAAAACAATGCTTATGTCAGTTATTCTGCTTTGAAAATGTGTGTCTTTGTTTTAGGCATGTGTAACTCCGCCAATGAAAATTTAACCAATCATATTTAGGCACCCAGGGCTGTCTTGAAGGAGACCACATCACATTTAATTTCAGTCACAAAACTACAGCAATAAGTTGTAGTGCAAAGATATAAACACTAGATATCGCATAGGGACCCTGAGCATACGTCAATAGCGCCGCCACATTTGTACAGTGCTTCCAGGACAAATGTTATTAAACCGCACTAGTCAAGACAGTGTTACTACATGAAGATGCTGGACTATAGCGCTGTGTACGGGTGTAGTGATGAGTAAAAAAAAAAAAAAAAAAAAGCACAAAGGCAGAATATTTCATGGTTAAGATTTAGTTTTTTACGTTTTTGTATGTTACGAACTTTTGTGCTAAACAAGTAACGTTATTGATGATGATTGTATGTGCCATCGATCCATCTCTTCTTGTCTTGTTTCTCTCTTTGAATTAGCAGGATTTGAACGCGGGTAACATAAGACAGTCCACTGATGTCGTTTCGAACATGTTTAATAACAACTTAACTGAACTATAATACACGGTCAAAAAACTGTCTTGCTTCCATCTTCATGACACTTCTTCTTCCTAGCCGGAAGTGACATCAGCATATACTCTATATTAAAAATTAAATTACTTTTAGTAAAATATTTTCAAGTTAGCCTTTTACATTATTATTAATTTAACATAAATAAAACAATGAACTAATGGCTCTTATAATGGTACATTCACTTACTGCACTCAACATAAGGCAAAGTAGCATCAACTCACACTAAATACTCGGCTTATGCAAGTTTTGTTGAATAAAATAAGCAAACAATGCAAAATAAATATGACAAGGAGATGCTGCGGTGCTAGAAGCTGGTTAGCTTACAGTGTACTGTTTGTACTCTTTGTACTTAAAAATAAGTTTAAAAAAAGTTTGCCATTTACACAGAAGCAATAATTTTACACTGAAAATAAAAGACAGAGCAATCTATAAATAATATTAATATTAAAAATAGTTCCTTACATTTATATAGCGCTTTTCTGGACACTCAAAGCGCTCTACACTTTGGGGCGAATTTCCTCATCCACCACCAGTGTGCAGAATCCACCAGGATGATGCAATGACAGCCATATTGCGCCAGACCGCACACCACACACCAGCAGATTGGTGGAGAAGAGACAGAGTAATAAACCCAATTAAGATAAGGGGATGGTTAGAAGGCCATGACGGACAAATGCCAGTGGAAAATTTGGCCAAGATGCTACATAATAAATAATAATGAATAAAAAATAGTAATAAATAAAATAATTTATTTGTCTAATGTATATCTAAGCTGCACATTAGCTAAGTATTTCCCTTTAAAATAGAACAAATGTAATCAAAGGCTGCTGAATCTCTCTGTCTGAAAGACACAGTTTATCAACTATATTCCAAAATTGTTTGGTTTTATAATAATTTTTTTTTGAGTAGAAATGTGAGTTTTTGAGTTGAGTTTGTTTTGAGTAGAAATGTGTATACTCCGTACAAAGTATGAAGCTGATCAGTCAGTCCTTGTTACTTAACTCGCTGTGCGCTTGCAACACATTTTCAACTAGGGGTGCCTGGAAAGCACAAGTGCGTTGCACCCAATATGCGCGCACTTCCATTGAAAAAAACTAACTTGTGCACGCAAAAGATGCGTTATGTGAACGGCCCTTAGTTTATGGACTTAGCCATGGTTAATCCAGTGTACATGCGTATTAGCCTCAGTGTATGAGCTAGGAATTTTAAACTAGCACACAGTTGGCAAAACTTTGTTTAGTTGCAGCAGTTTTGTTCCGTGCAATTAATTAACCGTGATGAATTAAAACGCAGTTAATAGTGAAATCAGTTAATCCTTGCATCCCTAGTAGTATTAAGTAACTAGTAAACTTACCCCAGTGAAATGAGGAATTCGGCGACTTGGTAGTTTCCACAGCTGCACGCTGTCAAAAGTGGAGTCTTATAGAACTGATCTTTGATATCAACAGGCACTTGTTGGGCAAACGCCAATCTTAGAGATTCTAGATCTCCACTCCTCACACAGTAATTGATGTTGCTATAGATCTTTTCCGGCTCGATATACCAAGCCGAATCGTTCTCAATGTGGTGGATTGAAGGTTGGTCTCGGTTGAAGGGTTTGGTGTGAGTATACAGCTGGCAGATCTCTATCATGTAGTACGGTAGCCCACTGTCTTCTCTTTTGCAGATAAGCTCAGGTGGCATCATACATATGGGCAATAATGAGGTACATTTATTTCTCTTCTTTTCCTTGGGGCCCTTTTCTTTTTTAGCCGGCTTTGGAGCATAGGATGAAATGACAAAGGGCTTTTGGAGGTATTTGAGGCCTTTGAAAAACTCATTTAGATTGATGACATTTTTATGGTTTTTGTCATGCTGCTTGATTATCCTCTGCAGGTTCTCATTACTCACTGGTGCTTGATTCGTGGACAGCAAAGACATGAATGTCTCCAGAGAAACTGTTTGAACAGGTTTATTCAGCTCTACAGCGGATTCAAAGGATCTGCGCAAGGCTGCCTCATGTTCACAGGACCAGTCGTGAAGCGTGATAGCCCAGGGTTCATTGGGGTTTATGGCATCAGGTGCAGAAAACTTCACATGCCTTTTCTCTGCTTTCTTAAGCTCCTTCAATGCAGCTTTGTGGCCGTTGCTTTTGGCGACTTGGCTTGGAAGTTGACCTTCCAGATTCCTCAGTTTGGGATTACATCCTATTTTAGATATAGAAAAATCAAAAATATTACTTCATGTAATAAACAGCTAACGTCAAAATAAAGCCTGTGAAATATTACTTCTTTAAAAATGTTTTGCATGCGTTGTTGTTGGAATATCTTGCCAATTCCATGTGTTTTCAATAAAAAAGGTCAGGAAAGGGTTTTCTTCAATGTCAAAAATATTAGTCATTTATTAGAAACAAATGAATAAATCGAGGGCAGAGCTGGGTTACGTTACCCCAATGCAATACAAGAATTACATTCAGGAGGTTCTCAGCTAACTAACATTTCCCTGACTCCAGCATATATACACAACTGATATAACAGGTGGAGTTTTGGTGTATCGTAAATCATCAGTCATTCTGCAGTCCTTTGGCTCTTGTACCCAAACATACTTCCTCTTTCTGCAACCCTTCTCTGCATACCAGACCTGAACAGTTAAGTGGCCTTCATTTCACAACTTCTACAAGCATCCAGCTCCTTGTGACACGTCTAGACTTTTTATTAGACAGCAGTCTGGAGCAAGGCCCCGCAATATATTTATTCTTATTCTGTTATTTCCGTCTTGTCAGCAATTCCTTCTAAAAAGTATGCAACACAAAAGAAAGAAGTATTCTTGGTCAATATATGGCATCATACAAAAGAAATAGATTGATTAATCTGTTGTTAGTCTAAACATTTTTTCCAATAAAAAACAAAGACACAAAAGCAATGAAAATAAATTCCTTTTCCTCCGCATTGTTTATCAAATTTTTACATTTTGAAAAATAATACTTTTTTAATAAATACTTTTTAATAACTAGGCCCATACAGAATCTGCAGACATTTTTTGCAATTTCTGCTGAGAATATTGTAAAAAATCTGCAGATTTATGCAGAATGATTTTAGGAGTATTGTAACTAAAAACCTAATATATGAAATAAAAAAAATACCTTTAATAACTTTTATTTTAAGTTTACAATGCAAATCCATAGGCAGATCCACTTATTTGGTAAACAAAGCAGGTCTCTCATTCAATAGCTCTACTAAAAGACAAAAAAATAGTTCTTTACAAGCTGTAAATAAATCATATAAACATTCTAATATTACTGTTATTACATCACAATAAATGTTAGTGAAATTAAATTAAAAACTGAATAAATATAAATTTACACAAGTAAATACAAACACTCACTAATGGGCTAAAAATCTGTGCATTTCTGCAAGCACAGATCATGTGTGGGTCTAATAACTAATTTATTTTCTCTTTGCCATGAAGAAAGTAAATAACATTTCTAGTTATTTTACAAAACACTAGCATTTAAAGAGCTAACTAGGTTAATTAGGTTAGGCAAGTAATGTTAGTTAGGCAAGTCATTTTACAACAGTGATTTGTTCTGTAGCAAAAAGAGGGATAATGATATTGCCCTTAAAATGGTTTTTATTGTTATTTTTTAAAAACTGCATTTGTTCTAGCCAAACTAAAAGACATAAGACTTTCTCCAGAAGAAAACAATATTATAGAAAATACTGTGAAAAAGTACTTGCTCTGTCAAAAATTACTTGGGAAATATTTAAAAAAAAGAATGAAAACTTAACAGGAGGGCTAATAATTTTTGACCTGGCAAATGACCAAAATAAAATAAAAAATTTTGCAGGCACTGATAACTCTTTATATTTAGAATTTGATTAAAAATATATACTCCTGAAATCCAGTACAAATTGCAATTTTGCTGCATCCTTTTTTAACGTTGAAAAACTCACACACTACCGACATTTTTTCCTTTCCTCAAGCAAAAACTCTCCTTTTCTTATTGGGGTGACAAAGATAACATCGAAAATTAGCACTTATCAGTTATCAATTTATCTTAAATCAGTAATAACAAAAAACTTCGACATGAACTGGAAGCTGCGATTGTTTATTTATTAAGTTATTTTTTCGTATTGTGATGCAGTTCCTAGAGAAATGGAATGTTAAATGAGAAAACAGTGGGCGTGGCTTGTTTTTTCCACTGCAAGCTGATTATATGCAGTAAAGTAGTCATTTCATTCAGAATAATGGAGAAAAGGGTTTCAGGAAAGTTAATACAACCTAACAGACAGCTGATTAGGGTTGCACCAGCTGATTGGAAGTTCTTTCTTAAACTGAAACGTAAAGTCCACACTACGGACTAAGAAAATACTAGCTAGTTTGTAACTAAATTTATTCTCACTTAGGTTTCACCACATGCTCTTAAGGCAAACCGCAGTTAAAAGGTCATAAGCTCTCCGTAAAGTCATGCGTACAGTAGTCGCACTAAATGACGTAATGTCTGATGAAAAGCATTTAAATTGTTAAACTGCTTTAAAATTGTGTAACTTATGCATCTATATATAACTGTCCTATGAAAATGAAATTATAAATCACAATTTTATAGCACATTACATTAAAGTCAGTCACTAATAACAGACGATGCACTTACCTGCATCGGGAGCAGTGAATGCACAAAATACACATATAGTTATACTCCTTGAAACAAAAATAATCTCTTCTTTCATAAACTGAAACAAATGCGAGATTTGAGAGGAAAATAAGGATGGGAGTAGAGGCATATCCTTCCTCATTATCATATTGTGAGCTCCTCAGTGTAGACTAATCTCGCTGTCATCTCTTTTCTACCGTTATACATGGGGGGCTGCTGCCGTAAATATTTAGATGGAAGGTAGCGTTATGTTTAAAATAAGTTTGGTGGTGCAACACAAAAATATTTAGTAGTGTATAAGTTGTACCTTAGTGTCCCTTTAAGTCACAACCAGGCTGTTTTAACTATACATACTGTTGATGCCACCAGCCCCTGCTCCTTACCATTTCTGTTTGTTGTCACAGAGTTGACAAAACTGGCAGTTAGAGGGGCGTGGTTAAATATGTTAGCCACGCCCAATACCTCAGACAAATGTAATCTAAGAATTTAACTTAAAATAAGCAGGGTTGTCAGATTTTAATTTTATAATACAAGGGAAAGCTTTTTTTCTTAATGACATGCATAGATGAATTGTTCTCAATATGGTTAGTTTTGAGTTCATGGTACTTTACTGGCTCTTATTCTCCATTTTTGGAAATAATAGAAAACCTTTAGATCATACCTCTCTGAGACAGGAATCTACAGCACTCATTGAACCCACCGGCAGCAGCAAAGTGCAGTGGTGTGTTGCCATTTGTTGTGCTTACACAAAAGTCTGCCGAGTATGCTGACAGCACCTGTAAAACCTAAAACAAAACAAAGACAGTCATACTCTCCGAAGTGAAACAATGCCACATTTTGTGCTCTTAACAATGCATTTAAATAACCTCAAGAAAACCTCCTTCTGCAGCAAAGTGGGCAGCACACCGTCCTTCTACATCAACTAAGTTAGGATTCCCTCCTTTTTTTGAAATGGCTCTTACAAGCTTTAATGCACCAGCTTTAGATGCCTCCATGAGCGCAGAACATCGTGTCACCTATGGGGAACCAACAGGACAAACTATAATAATTCCACTTTATCAGATTTCACATTTGTCTATTAAAATGCTGTAAAATTGTGTCTGTCTAAGAAACCCTTGTATAATGATTGATTGCTTTTTTTATTGAATCAAAATAAGAGGAAGCTTATATTTGAAACCTGATCAACTGCATCGGGATCAGCTCCTTTCTCCAGAATGTTTATGCACAGGTCTTCACAGTCCTTTGCTTTCTCACAGGCAAACACAAGAAGGGGCTTTCCTGAATTAGAAACGTTGTTGAAATTTGCCTTGCTGGCGAGCGCCATCTGCAGGCAGAGAGCGTGTTCTTTGGATGGAGAGATACAGTAAAACAGCACCCCTGCAAATAAAACAATAGAAGTTTAGAATATATTCTAAACACATGCTCTAAATACCCTTTAAGCGTATATTAATAAAAGAAAATCAGAGGATATACCCCCCCCCCCCTTTGCAAATGTTTTTTTCAAAAACCTTAATTCTTTCTATCTGAAGAAAGAATGAAATTAACATGTTGAATGAAGTGATATCTAATGTAATAAAGTGATAGTTCAACCAAAAAAGTAAATTCTGTCAATATTTTGTCACCTTTTACTATCTTAAATAACAAGATAAATTCTATAACTATAGAGTACCATACATTTCTAAATATATGTTCTCACCTTTGCCCTCTTTATCTGTACAATTCACATCTGCATAACCTTTGATCAAAATATGCACAATATTGTAGTAGCCCAACTGTGCAGCCAGCATGAGCGGTGTGCAGCCCTTCTTATCCTGTGTGTCGGGATGGGCTCTCAGAGACAGAAGGAACTGTACTAGCTCTTCATCTTTATCCACAGTTGCCTGATACAGTGCACCGAGTCCATGTTTGGGTTCAGTCAGGTTTATCAGGTTGAATACACCTGTACAGACTATCTTTTTTATCTGTGGTTTGTTCTTTTCCCGTACATGTTGCAGGAGTTTGTAGATCTGTAGGATCTCCACGTTACTCTTTGCCATCCTCGAAACACCACTTTCTGAAGTCATCTCTGTTTCTTCATTCATGGTCTGTTTTAAGAAATGATAAATAGCATTAACATTAAAATAGAATATCATATCATGTGTACATTCAATTTTTTAGTATTGCCAAAGCTTGTTGTGCCTTGATGAGAGATAAACATATATAGGGCCGGATTTAACCAATAGGCAAGGTAAGCAGCCATTTAGGGCATCAGGAAATCAGGGGCCCCCAATAAAACCAAGAAGTTTCTATAAATAATATGTAACTTAAAGTAGTTTTCTATCATATTTTCTATGGTGAGGGTCTAACAAATAAAAATATATAATTGTTACATCCATGCAAATCTGTCTCGCTCCCCCAATCATGAATCAGTCCAGCAATACAGTCAGGTAATGATTTTGTTTTACAAACAAAAAAGTTTATTATTTTAGTTTCAGTCATTTTTAGTCATTTTAAGAATCAATTAATTTGAAAATGTAGAGATTATATTAAGATTAAAATCTAGAAACAAGATTATAGACGGACGGACGGACGGACGGACGGACGGACCGACAGACAGACAGACAGACAGACAGACAGACAGACAGACAGACAGACAGACAGACAGACAGACAGACAGACAGACAGACAGACAGACAGACAGACAGACAGATAGATAGATAGATAGATAGATAGATAGATAGATAGATAGATAGATAGATTTTGGGCCCCCCAAATCACCAAATCCGCCCCTGAACATACACATAAAATGTAAAAAGTATTTAAATAATATTTAATATTAAAGACTGGAAATAAAATTTTAAAACGTAGACTAGATTGTTCGTTTGTTGTCATTTAAATCAATTTCCTTTGACGTTACTGCTAATTGGTCAAAATGTTCTTAGAGTTGAATTTATGAAACTGCCTAACGTTAAATATACATAAATATGTCGACATATTTATACATTATACAAACACGGGTACTTAAACGTAAATATGTAAGTTTAGAAAGTCAACAGATACGTTAACGTTATGCTTACCGAAACTCTCGTCAACTATCAGCACGCAGGAAACTGCCTAAAATACAACAGTATTTGTATATTTATAAAAGATAACGATGAATGAACAAATAATCTGTATGCCCGTGGAATAAAATACGTTTGTAAACAACTACAGGCATTACAGCACAAAAAAATTAACGGTAAGAGCTCGCATCGACACTCGGTAAACTTCGGAAATTATCGTGTCTTTCGTTCCGTTCGTGCTGGTACTTTCGGACACACTCGGTAAAAGCCGTCACACTTCGTATCAGTGTTTACCTCACCCATTCACTCAGAAAGAAAAATCTTCGGAATAGTGTGACGTTATGACCTCTCCTCCCAGGTCCATAGTTCAGGATTTCTTTCTGCAGGGAGAATATGGGAGAGAAAAAGATACTCTGCATTGGTTTGGTGTGTCTGGATATTATAAATGTTGTGGATAAATACCCGGAAGAAGATACTGATACCAGGTAATAGGAAATTCGGAAACTATCCCACAGCTTGTACAATATTACTATATCAGTGCACGTTTTGCGTTAGCATTCCTAAAGCATAACCACCCATATAGACTTGATATACCCTGCAGTTAATGTTGCATCACCGGTGTCATAAAATAACGCAATTGTTGATCATGTTAGGTGCGTGTCTCAGAGATGGCAGAGAGGAGGAAACGCATCAAACACGTGCACTGTTTTGTCTCTTCTCGGGGCCCCTTGTGCATTTATGGGGTCTTTGGCTCCTGGACCAGTAGCTGAGTAAGTGGTTTCTACCTACTGTTGTACAACGACATATTCAGGGTAACTATTTACAATAAAGTTCCATTAGTTAATGTATTTTATAATATAAAAGTGCACTTTTTACAATATTTATTTATCTTTTTTTATGATTAATTAATGAAAATGCAATCGCTCATTAATAGTTGTTGATAATTCATAGCGCATTAGATTGAGGTAAAGTTGGTTTTATGGTTTTATATTTGCACATTCGTTCATTTTATTGGTTCTTAAATTTTGTAGCACACTACTTTGAATATTTACATGCAAATATCACTTCAAAACAACATTAGCACTATTTAATTGACTGTAAACAATGTTGCACTTTGATAGTCATTCATTCATTTTCTTTCGGCTTAGTCCCTGTATTCATCAGGGGCCGGAAAGAACTGTCAACTTATCCAGCATATATTTTACGCAGCGGATGCCCTTCCAGCCGCAGCCCAACACTGGGAAACACCCATACACTCTTGCATTCACACTTATACACTATGGCCAAATTAGCTTATTCAATTCACCTATAGTGTATGTCTTTGGACTTGTGGGGGAAACTGGAGCACCCAGAGAAAACCCACGCCAACACAGGGAAAACATGCAAACTCCACACAGAAATGCCAACTGACCCAGTAGAGGCTCAAACCAGTGACTTTCTTGCTGTTAGGCGATTGTGGTTGTGACTGCGTCACCTTGATGATGACTACTTTGATAGTGATTGGCTGCTAATATGATATCCCTATTTAGAATTGGCAAATTATGCTTTTCTGAAATGATATTTGTGGACATATACATTTTTATCATCTTAATTCCAAATGAACAATAATCTATGTATAACTGAAAAGTTATATCCTTTGTTTTTTAATTAATTCATTTCATTAACATCCCAGCTAGGAGGGACATTTAACCTTTGTCTTTCTGACTACAATCTGAGCCAAAGTGATGCATATGCTTTAAACAACTCTGTCTTTGTCTTCGGGTGTTGCTTTTATGCTACAGAAACCTTTTGTGGTCAGTAGCTGGGCCGGTTTTTAATACCTATGCTATGCTGACTCCAATACTGAATTTGCATGCTTTGTTTAGCCATGTCCCCTCCTCCTAACAGGACAATATAGAAAGGACATCTTTGTCTTAATTCAGACTTTTGGAGACTCGTGATAAAACTTGCAGACTGCAGACCTCCAGTAGGCTCCTGCAGACACATGGACTTCTTGAAGACGACGCATGACTGCAGATCAACCATCACGTCTCAATAAAGAAATTCTGCTTGTTTCGAGTCTCCTGGACTGGGTTCTTCTCTTCTTTTTCATTTATTTTTTAACAATATATTATTAAGGAGAAAGTCAGAATGTGCGAATATAAAACCAACTTTACCCCAATATTGACTAATGCTGACTAGCACAACTTTGGATTTTACAGATGGATTAGTAAATGTTGAACTATGATTAATAAATGCTTTACAAGTATTTGCTCATTCTTAGGAAATAGATAAGCATTAACTAATGGAACCTGTTGTAAAGTGTGACCATTTTCAGAATAATAAGTCACATATTTGATACAGATTACAATATATAGCGGAAAAAATAACATACAACATAACATAATTTACAATTTAATAAAACAGCATAAAAATAATATATTTATGTGTTTGAGTAAAACTTTACATTGATTTTAGACAATATAAAGTCAATAGTTTTTTTCAGAAGAGTTTCAAAAATCAATATGGGGTTTATAACCCTGGCTATACAGTACATACAGTTGAAGTCAGAATTATTAGCCCCCATATTTATTTTTACCCCTATTTCTGTTTAACTGAGAGAACATTTGTTCAACACATTTCTAAACATAAATAGTTTTAGTAACTCATTTCTAATAACTGATTTATTTTATCTTTGCCATGATGACAGTAAATATTTGAATACATTTTTTTAAAAACACTTCTCTACAGCTTAAAGTGACATTTAAAGACTTAACTAGGTTAATTAAGTTTTCTAGGCAGATTAGGGTAATTAGGCAAGTTATTGTATAACGATGGTTTGTTCTGTAGATTATCAAAAAAAAATTTGCTTAAAAGGGCTAATAATTTAGACCTTAAAATGTTTTTTGAAAAATTAAAAACTGCTTTTATTATAGCCGAAATAAAACAAATAAGACTTTCCCCAGAAGAAAAAATGTTATCAGACATACTGTGAAAATTTCCTTGCTCTGTTAAACATCATTTGGGAAATATTTAAGAAAGAAAAAAATAATAATTCTGACTTCAGTTGTATGCACACAGATACTGGTATGTGCAATGCATTTTCACTTAGTTTTAGGCTTAAAAGTTTTAAAAGGGCGGCGCAATATATCGTTTCAGCATCAAGATCGCTATGTGTGCATTCGCTATAGTCACATCGCAGCATCTGCAATGTGGAGTCGGGATTATTATTGTTGATCAGCCTTGAAGAATGTACAGTGTTTACATTTTACATTACATTTGATTATTTAATAATAGGGGCAGGGCAAAATACCGATATGCATGAGGTGGCGCTTCTCATAATGGCGAACATAGATCATTGTTGCAATTCGAAGAAATATATGTGCTGTTAATAAAAAAATCCTATGACTTATGATGCATTTTTCCCTCTTCATTTACAAAAATCATGATATATTTTGAAAGATTTTCCTGTGATATATCACAATAATATGAAATGTGAAATATTATTATGTGAAATATTATTATCAGGGGCAAAATATTATGAAAATATAGTTTCGTATCGTATCTTATTACTTATTACTTATTACTTATTACTTGACTACTTATTTTACTTTTATCTTACAATTTTCAAGTTTATGATTTTATTCCAAATAAAGCTAGCTTTAAGTCAGGGGTCACCAAACTTGTTCCTGGAGGGCCAGTGTCCTGCAGATTTTAGCTCCAACTCTAATCAAACACACCTGAACAAGCTAATCAAGGTCCTACTGGGTATACTTGAAACATTCAGACAGGTGTGTTGAGGCAAGTTGGAGCTAAACCCAGCAGGGACACCGGCCCTCCAGGACCGAGATTGGTGACCCCTGCTTTAAGTCATCTGCCGAAATTGTATTCATATCAGAATATAAATCTCTGCAAAATAAAATATCAAAATGTCATATTTTTTTAATATTGTGCCGGCCTACACCATACAATGAAACTTGTTTCGCCAATGAACAGAGACTAAACAACATATTAAATGAGAACTTTATATGTATGAAAAAAAAGCCAGAATTGTGAGGCAAATGTGCAGAATCGTGAAGGGGAAAGTAAGAACTGTCACATCCAAAATCACAATGACTTTTTTTGACAAATTGTTGAGACATAGACAGACTTTGAAGTTTATGTCTTGCAATAAAGTCTATTTAAAATAATATTAATTTTTGAACCGTAAGAAAAAGTTAGAATTGTCAATCCTGTGGCTGAAACAAGCTTTTCAATGGCTCCCACAACCTTCAAAAGATCACACTTTTTTTTTTAGATCACACATTAGCTGTACACTTAAGTTCTGTATGCATACTTTTCCTTGCTAATATGTTCTTCTAGCTTCGTCTTGAGTGACTTTCAAATGTACAAGATTGACATCTCTCTTCTTCTGGAGCATGCTGAATGCTCCTTTCCAGCCTCTGTAGTAATCAGCAGCGTGACCACAGGAAGCCGCACAATTCTGCATATGAACAGGTTTGTGTGTGAGAGTTCATGTGTAAGTAAAGCTCTTTTCTCACAGGAACAACTATCCCAGCTGAAATATTCCCGATTGCATCAAAACACTGAGTGAAAAAATGCTATCTCTGTGTGTGTGGTGATGCTTTTTACATTTCTAAGGGTGCACAGAAGGTGCATGGTTCGAAGTTCAGTGCTGCACGCTTTGTGAGCCTGAAATCAGTAAAGTTTTGACTCTGTAGTGCATATGGGTCACTGCAGTACCTTTCTGTTTGCTGTGCTAGTTTCATCACGGGGGATTTTGCTCGGCGAGGGGTGGACATTTCTGGTGTGGCTTGGCAGAAGTGGGGTGAGACCCCGTGTGCCTGTTGTGTGGTGTGTCCTGCCAATGGCTCTCGCACTGTCGTGCTCTCAGACACGTAAGAGCAACATCTAAAAGTCACAATAATCATAACAGAATCGAAGGGCGAAGCGTGAATTCTAATAATCATAACCTGTGAATGCGCTGTCGTAATTGACACTCATTTAGTCTTGAAGTAGCTGCCATTAACAAATCACGACAATTTGACATTGCATGCATTTATTTGAGTGCTTATGATTATTTCTGTGGGAAAATATTATCAGTTAATTTAATTCGCAAGATTATTTTGTTGATTTGTTTAAACAACACACAACAGCACACAATGTCAATGCTTACTAGCTGACTTGCAGAGTGCAACTTGCAGGTTCCAGAAGTAAAATCTTCATTCCTTTATTTCCATAGGGAACCTGTTTTTTTTTAAGAATAACTGACACTTTTAAAGGCAGACCTGCTTTTGTAACAGTCTGAGGTTGTTAATCAATTGCATATGCTTTTACTAAATGCATATATTTACAATAATTGACCAGTTTTATAATATAATCATGTTAAATAGCAGAATTTAAGAAAAACTACACAGAAAAAATTCCATAAGTAAAGTTATCCATATTATTTTGTGATTAACTTTTTTGTGCTATTTATTCATGCTTTAAAATATTTTATTCTATTTTATTTTTTTAAGTGGTTTATTGGTTAAGTTGTGTTGTAAATTACAGTACTAAAACCTACTAAACTGCCAGTACTTTTTCTGTTATTTTACAGACATAATTCTCTCTCTATATTATTTCTTATGCAATATATTGTTTCTAAAATAGCTATAAAAGTAGTAGGCATGAGCCGGTATAAGATTCTGACGGTATGATGGATAAAAATATCACGGTATTACGGTATTATGATTACTTCTTAGGTACAGGAGCTGTCACTGGGGTGGTACCTTTTCAAAAGGTGCAAATTCGTACCTGAAAGGTCCATATTAATACCTCAAGGGTATATATTAGTACCTAAAAAGTACAAAAGTACCTTTTGAAAAGAGACCACCCCAGTGACAGCTCATGTACCTTTATTTCTGAGAGTGTAAAATATATTCCTTTTAAATGTCTTAGTAAAAAGCAACCTTTTCCCCTTTGAACAATATACTTTAATTTTTATTTTATTTTTTACTATACTTTTTTTTTTTACTTTGAGAAACATTTAAAATATTTTTTACCAGTAAATATATCAAGCTAAATAATTCAGATGAATCATTGACTTCATTCATAAATAATGCAATTCATAACTGTAACAAAACTACAAAAAAAAAAAAGTGAATCAAGAAATACAGAAATTGTTAAATAATGGATATTCGGGCCGATCATTGTAGAATCTGAAAAATAATATTTGTGCATATATATATATATATATATATATATATATATATATATATATATATATATATATATATATATATATATATATATATATATATATATATATATATCGTAATAATTTTATTCAAATTATTCTTTTACATATGCAGTACGCATCTGTATTTTATATTAAGCAGTGGTTTGGATTGTAATTTTTTCTCATTCAAACCTTAGTCATGCATCTTTGTTTTTTATATAATTTTCATATACATTTTGCTTCAATTGAACGTTTGTAATGTTGTGATTCAGCTTGTAGCTTATTGGTTTGGTTCGCAGCTTGTAACACTTTCACAAAAACCTTTTTAATATCCCTATTGGATAAAATGAATGGGAAAAATACTTCTGGAACTTGAGTTGATGGGCACTAATTCACTCTATTCCATGGCTGTCTTGAACACTAAACTGAATGTTCACTTTCCACATACTATGTCCAAATATTGCAGTTTAATGACCACTAAACAGCACAACCGAGCAATTACTGGCAACTGCATTTATAGCAGTACCACATAATAATACTATTTAATCTCAAATCAATATATAATTGTAATTGTTTCTATTTATTTGTCAAGCAGCCGTGTAATAAGTGGGATGATCCAGTTAGATGCTCATTATCTCAAAATAAACCTTATGCAGAATGATACAAAACTCTCTGTTGAGGTTTGTTTATGCACACTAGTGGACTGTACAGTATCATTTACTTTTATTTGCTTTGTCTGTATAGCAAATTAACATATAAAACCAGCTCTTATTTTCATTTCTGCCTTAAATAATGTTTCTCATGACTACAACCTGTTCTGAAAACTTCCAAATCCATTTCCTTGTCTATGAGGAGAAGCACACATTGGCTTATAATCACTGTTATCTTATAATAACAGCCTGAAGCTGACTATTTGTCTGCGCTGATGACTGTTATTGAATGCTTTTCTGTATACAAACTGACAGGCATCCGCTCTAGAGCAGTAATCTAAGGTTTTTCCACTGCAGATCTTGCACTGATTCACTTTGTGACAGTAAATAGTTTTGTATTATATGATTACAGCGAATCATATCAAAATAATAGAGAGTGATTATGACCTATCAGGAACATTTCATAAACTGACCATTCTCTGTGAACACCTGATTGTTGTAGTCTAAAATCTAAAAAGCACTTTCATCAGCTATTCTCTTTGTTTAATCAGAAACTTGCCAGATGTTTCTGTAGAAGATTTTTCAAAGGTGGATCTGAGCCAATACAAGTGGGTCCACTGGGAGGTGAGCGGGTCCGCCAAATATCTTTCATTTGCTACATATTAAAACACACTGAAACGTCATTTAGTTACTTCTGATCTTTATTTTATTCCACAAGTGGAGAGCTAGAGCTGATTGTTTTATGAATGTTTTGTCAGGGCCGTAATGCTGACGAACAAGTGAAGATGATTGAGAGGGTGAGAGAGTATAACAAAAAACAAGACGAGAAGAACAGAATCGCCATCTCAGTGGAAATCGAGAAGACCAGGGAGCCGCTCTACCAGCTTTTTCCTCTGGGTGATTTGGTATGATTAAACTCTTGCGAATAAAAAGTTGATCATTATTTTGATTTTAATTAATTTCTTTGTTTTGTGGTTTATTAACTTTGGATTTATTAACTGAATAATAGTCAAATGTTGATTGTGATTTTGGCCAGTTTACACATTAATAACCCTTTAACAGGCATCTTAACCACATGGTTTACCTTTTATCCATAGGTTATTATAATTTTTTTAAATTGCTTAATTTTGTTGATGAGAGTTGTGTCAGTATATTATTTAATACAAGATGTGGGCCAAATAATATTTTAAAGGAGTGCACCTTAAAGCTTTAATAAAAATCTATATTATTAAAAAATATTGATCATCCGTCTGCGCCAATAGCCTAGTGGTTAAGTGCACTTACATATAGCACCATGGTGCTCACGATGACCCGAGTTCGATTCCCAGCTCGGTCCTATGTTGACCCTTCCCCTCTCTCTGTTTTCAACTATTTCCTGTTAATTCTATGCACTTTTTTTATCCATTAAAAGTTAAAACCCCCTAAAAATAATTATAAAAAAAGTATAGATCATCCAATCAGCAGATTAAATGATTTCTAAAGGATTTTGTTAGGGTTATGAAGGATTGTGTGTTTACCAACCTATTTTGTCCAGCTACGTGCCTAATTAACCTTAGTTAAGCCTTTAAATTGGACTTTTAGCTGAATACTACAGGGTTTCCATGCTTTTTGAAAGCACTTGAATTGCAGACATATGGATTCAAGGCCTGGAAAGTACTTAAAAACAAACAGGTCCTTAAAAGTGCTTGAACTATTCATTGATTTTCCTTTGGCTTAGACGCTATTTATTAAGGGTCACCAAAGTGGAATAAAACCCCAACTTATCCAGCATATGTTTTACAGCGGATTCCCTTCCAGCTGCAACCCAATGCTGGGAAACATCCACACACACTCAAACACTTACACCACAACCAGTTTAGTTTATTCAATTCACCCTTTTCAACTGACCCAGCCAGGACTTTAACCAGCAACGTTCTTGCTGTGAGGCAACAGTGCTGACTACTGAGCAACCGTGTCACCCTGCTTAAATTATATTTGAAATAAAATTTGTTTATAGTGTTATTTCAATAATTGTACTGTGCAGCTGTCAAAAACAGAATAATAATAAAAAACTTTTAAATCTTAAATTATAATCTGACAAATAACGCACGTTTTAGCAAATTTATTTATAACCAAGATTGAATTCAACTAATTTTATTAAAGTTTTAAAACGGTCAACATAAACATTAACTGTAAGTGAAGAATTCAGTATGGACTTTCATTCTGCTACACATGCTGGGCTGTGAATTACAAAGGTGCTTGATTTAAAATGAATGGTGCTCTAAAAAGTTCTTGAAAGTCTGAATCTGGTAACCATAAAAGACTCGGAAGCCTTATACTATTGTTTAGCAAATTTACTAGTACAATATTGTGTTCTGTCATCATATCAATGACAAGAAATTAGATATTAGAAATTAGCTATTGGGTGGCGTGCTGGTGCAGTGGGTAGCGCTGTTTTCTCACAGCAAAAAGGTTGCTGGTTCGAGTCTCGGCTGAGTCGGAGGGCATTTCTGTGTGGAGTTTGCAATGCATTGTCTCCTCGTGTTCGCATGGTGTTCCTCCGGGTGCTCCGGTTTTCCTCACAAGTCCAAAGACATGCATTATAGGTAAATTGGGTAAGCTAAATTGTCCGTTGTGTATGTGTGTGAATGAGTGTGTATGGGTGTTTCCCAGTGATGGGTTGCAGCTAGAAGGTCATACGCTGCGTAAAACATATGCTAGATAAGTTGGCGGTTCATTCCGCTTTGGCAACCTCAGATTAATAAAGGCACTAAGCCAAAAAGAAAATTAATGAATGAATGAACTATTGTTTAAAAAATCTTCTCTGTTAAACAGCATTTGGGAAATCTTTGAAAAATAATTGAAATTTCACAGTAGGGATCATAGTTTTGTTTTATACATTTTAATGCACACTTAGTTTATGAAAACATTTAAAGAAGTTAAGCTTTCCGTACTGCACTGTTACATGGAGATGAAATTAAAATATCTAATAAATATGAAGTATATAGTAGACACAATGTTTAATAAATGAACATGCATGGAGCTCAAAATTTAAACAAGCCTGTGTTGTTTTCTTTTTAAATTCTGTAGAAATTCGAATGTGATGTATTATATACAGGCCAGCTATTAAGCTTGCATACATGTTTGGACACCGCATAACCTGTGTTATCTGTTTTCACTCAGGTCTTTGTTAGTAAGGATGTGGCCCAGCACTTTGGGTTCGACTCAGCTGCTGCAGCACTGAAGGGTTTCAGTGGTCGACTGAAGAAGGGGTGAGTCTGTCTCCTAAAATGACCACTAGATGTCACTAGTGTTACAAAAATTATACTGACTTGATATTTATGCTCCAGAATCACCACCTAATGGGAAAGTTTCATTAAAAAAAAATCAAGAAATCTGTCATCATTTACGTTTGATTTCCTTCTTCTCTTAAACACAGTCGAAGATTTTTTTAAAAACTGCTGAAAACCACTGACCACCATAGTATTTGTTTATCCTAATATGGAAGTCAGTGGTTTCCATATTATTAAAAATATCTTTAAACACTCATTTTACTAGTTTTAGAATACATTTACTGACTTAATTATGCACAAATTCCCTTTATATTCTGTACACTTGGTTATGCATCAGAATCTCCGCTTAAAGGGAAAGTTCTGCCTAAATTCTGTCATCGTTTACTCACTTGTCACAAACCTGTTTGAGTTCCTTCTGTTAAACACAAACAAAGATATTTAGGAAACTTGAAAACCATTGGCTTCCATAGTATTTGTTTTTCCTACTATGGAAGTCGCTAGTTTCCATCATTCTTTAAATTATCTTATTATTTGTTTGCCAGAAAAGAAAGAAACTCATAAAGGTTTGGTATCATTTGAAGTAAATGGTAAAGACATTTTTGTTTTTGGATGTGTTTTTTTCCTAATTGTTACCTGTTTATATGAGTTTGATTGTGTATCCAGTGCCACCCTCATTTGTGCCTGGGCAGAAAAGGGAGCTGATGCCATGGGTCCGGACGGTGTGATCATCCATTCAGATGCATTTCCACCTGAGCAGCTTGTGGACACACTTGGAGCAGGCGACACCTTCAACGCTTCTGTGCTCTATTCACTTTCTAAGGGTAAGGATGCAGGTCTGATTCTGAAATACAGAGACAGAATGGGTTATTAAGCATGTTTACATGCACACTGTGTCCTCACACACAAAAAAAACTGTTTAATAAGCAAACCAATAACCTGTCAATGCAAGTAAAGCGCGTTCACAAGACTAATAAATCAGTTTATTTGATGTGATGTAATCATTTGGAAAACTGTCATGTTGTGTTGCATGAAATGAGAACATTTTTATTATACTTTAAGATCAAGAAAGTATCTGAGTTTACAGTTTATTTTTTATTCTGCAGCTAATTTACTTTTTCTGAACATGCTTTAATCAGCAGTAAGGATGCGTTCAAATCAGTAAGCAGGTTAATGTGTTTGAAAAATTGGTATGATGAGTCTTGGGTTAAGAAAGTGCATGTAAATAAACGTACTCAGTACTCTTATATGGACAACTATTTTCTGATATTAACACAGTTAAGATAATATTTTGATTAAGAATACCATGCCAATTGAGATTACCTTTATTTACTTTTACACTTAAAAGTAAACACAAATTGATTTAAGTTGTTGGGTATTTCTATTTTAGTCACATTATTAAAGTGCAATATACACCTGTGCATTTTAAACATGTTATTACTATCACATAGGATTTAATTTAGTTTTTTTTTTTTTTTTTTGCTAGAGAATACATAAGCAGTACCCTCATGACAAAATTCTGTAATCTATAGTAAATTACTACAACTGTTTTACCTTTTTAGTTGCTATTTTTATTAAACCATACTATTGTAAAGTACTTACATTAATCTGCTGTAGTTTTTCTGTGCTAATACAACAACTAACGTGACATAAATCACCCAATTCTGTATAAATACCATAATTCAGCAAAGTTTACTGTGGAAAACCCTAAAGTGTACTACAGAATTTATGACAGTTTATTTTCGTTAATACTACCCACATTACAAAAATACTGCAATTTATAGTAAATAACTACAACTGCTTTACCTTTTTAATTTTTCTTTTTTCTAAAACCATATTATAGTAAAGTACTTAAATATACAAGATTTCTTACAGTTTATCAGTTTACTTTAGTTAATACTACAGGTACCCACATTAAAGAATACTGTAATTTATAGTTAATTACTACGACTGTTTTACCATTTTAATGTTTTTATTTTTTAAACCATACTATAGTAAAGTACTTGAATTAATCTGCTGAGGTAATTATGTGGTTCTCATTTTAATACAACAACTATAGTGACATAAATGGCAAAATACTGTATAAATACCACAATTCACCACAGTTTACTGTGAAAAAATCTAAAGTGTACTACAGTATTTATTACAGCTTATTTTATTTAATACTACCCACATTACAAAAATACTGTAATTAATAGTAAATAACTACAACTGCTTTGACTTTTTAATTGTCATTTTTTCTAAAGCCATACTATAGTAAAGTATTTAAATATACTACAAGATTTCTTACAGTTTATCAGTTTACTTTAGTTAATACTACAGGTACCCACATTAAAGAATACTGTAATTTATAGTTAATTACTACGACTGTTTTACCATTTTAATGTTTTTATTTTTCAAACAATACTATAGTAAAGTACTTAAATATACAAGATTTCTTACAGTTTATCAGTTTACTTTAGTTAATACTACAGGTACCCACATTAAAGAATACTGTAATTTATAGTTAATTACTACAACTGTTTTACCATTTTAATGTTTTTATTTTTTAAACCATACTATAGTAAAGTACTTGAATTAATCTGCTGAGGTAATTATGTGGTTCTCATTTTAATACAACAACTATAGTGACATAAATGGCAAAATACTGTATAAATACCACAATTCACCACAGTTTACTGTGGAAAAATCTAAAGTGTACTACAGTATTTATTACAGCTTATTTTATTTAATACTACCCACATTACAAAAATACTGTAATTAATAGTAAATAACTACAACTGCTTTGACTTTTTAATTGTCATTTTTTCTAAAGCCATACTATAGTAAAGTACTTAAATATACTACAAGATTTCTTACAGTTTATCAGTTTACTTTAGTTAATACTACAGGTACCCACATTAAAGAATACTGTAATTTATAGTTAATTACTACAACTGTTTTACCATTTTAATGTTTTTATTTTTTAAACCATAGTAAAGTACTTGAATTAATCTGCTGAGGTAATTATGTGGTTCTCATTTTAATACAACAACTATAGTGACATAAATGGCAAAATACTGTATAAAACCCCAATTCACCACAGTTTACTGTGGAAAAATCTAAAGTGTACTACAGTATTTATTACAGCTTATTTTATTTAATACTACCCACATTAAAGAATACTGTAATTTATAGTTAATTACTACGACTGTTTTACCATTTTAATGTTTTTATTTTTCAAACAATACTATAATAAAGTACTTGAATTAATAATGCTATGGTTGCCATTTAGTAAAACCTAAAGTATGCCACATCATTTATTACAGTTAATCAGTTTACTTTAATTAATACTACAGTATGCTGTAGCATTCATTAAGAAAGTGTTGTAGATACTATAAAATATATTTAATAATACACTTAAATAATAAAATACTATAGTTTTTTTATGAGAGCAGTGTCAACTGTTTAACTGCAAAAAAGAAATTGTATCCTAAATCGTCTCTTTGCATGAATAGCCAAATAATGCCAAATAATTAACTCATTTACTGTAAAAGCACCAAAATCTTTTCTCTAATTACAAATGAAACACCCAAACTATAAAAGGCACCATAACAAATAAATACTGTGCAGTGATACATGAAATTCTGGAGTTAACATTAGATGGCATTGATTTATAATGTGTGATATTACTCGATCTATGCACTACTATCCACCTTTTTCTGTAATAGACTGTACTTGGGGTAGTTTGGGAAATAAAACACTTCATTCAATAATTCAATTCAATTCAATTCAGCTTTATTTGTATAGCGCTTTTACAATGTAGATTGTGTCAAAGCAGCTTCACATAAATGGTCATAGTAACTGGAACAGTGTAGTTCAGTTTTTAGTGTTTAGGTTCAGTACAGTTCAGTTTAGCTCAGTTCAGTGTGATTTAATAAGGTTGTGTTCATATTCATATACACAGTAAAAACTGAACGAGAGGTGCTTTATGTTGTATTTATCATGAAAATAACATTACAGTTACAATAGGTGCTTTAACATGACATTAGTACCATCATATCTGTGGTGAAGCTCTTTTCAGTTCACTGTATTTGTATTTTTCTTTGTATTGCCTACAGTACATTAATGTTTAATATGTCAATAATATTATGGCTTAAATACTCATTTTGAATGTTTTGGGTTATTCATGGTCTACTGAAAATAATTTGTTAATTCTAACAAGTTGCCTTTTGACATTGGATGGATGTACGGTGAGGAGAATAATGATACCTCATTGCATACAGTTTTTAATTACATTTCACTGATTGTTTGCAGATTAACAAAAGTTAGCTTCATAATTCACGCAAAGCATCATGGAGTGCAGGAAAAAGGTGGTTAACATGTAAAACGGGAACACGAAAGAAATATTCTAAAAGCAACTCACGTAAACACCTCATTCATAATATTGTCTACTTCAGAACAATATACTGACGTCCATGTAAACGTACTGATGTAAATCTGTTTCATTCTCTTTCTGCAGGAGGCAGCCTACAGGATGCTCTCACATTTGGCTGCCAGATTGCGGGGAAAAAATGCGGCGTCCACGGATATGATGGAATTCTACACTGAACATGCCGGAGAGGTGCACAGCTGGAATGTAGTGCAGACATACATATAGCGTGCCGATAAACTTAACTAGGGTTGTAATAAGCCACTAGTCATTGTCAAGGCATGGTGGTACTGCTAAATAGTGTTGTTTCACATAATTATAATAATAATGTAAATGCAAATGATATATTTAAATAATGAAGGTATACTGTACTAATGTTACTCTGCATAATTTAGATTAAATTAATTGAAGGAGACTTGTTTAGAACTCTTCACTCTGGGTTGACACTAATATTAAAATGTAAGTCAAATTAAATAATGAGAAAGACAATAAGAAAAATTTTATGAATGAAGCCGTTGGAGCTGTTTGTGCCAAGCAAAATGAAATGTTTAAAGTAAATATGATTTTTATTTTGTAAAAACAGTGATACTGTGAAATATTATTATTTTATAACTTTTAGTTAATAACTTTAGTTTACTTTTTGTTTTTAGCAGTCTTGAACCTTTAGTACTATGTGGATCTTCAGAAGAAATGATGATACTTTATGATAAATTACCATTACAAAATTTGCGGTTAGCATTCACATTTTATATTGTTTGTAAGGATGTATTAAAAAGATCACACTAAGTAATAAACTAATAATATTTTACTGTTTTTGATTTAACAATTTGATATACACTCACCGGCCATTTTATAAGGTCCACCTTACTAGTACCGGGTTGGACCCTCTTTTGCCTTCAGAACTGCCTCAATCCTTTGAGGCATAGATTCAACAAGGAACTGGAAATATTCCTCAGAGATCCATGATGTGAATCTCTTGTTCCACCACATCCCAAAGGTGCTATATTAGATTGAGATCTGGTGACTGGAGGCCATTTGAGTACAGTGAACTCATTGTCATCTTCGAGAAACCAGTCTGAGATGATTTACGCTTTGACATGGTGCGTTATCCTGCTGGAAGTAGCCATCAGATGGATACACTGTGGTCATAAAGGGATGGACTTGGTCAGCAACAATACTCAGGTACTGTAGGCTGTGGGGTTGACAATGCTCAATTGGTAATAATGAGCCCAAAGTGTGCCAAGAATATCCTCACACCATTACACCACCACCACCAGCCTGAACCGTTGATACAAAGCTGGATCGATTCATTTTTTCATGTTGTTAATGCCAAATTCTGATCCTACCATCCGAATATTGCAGTTAAAATCGAGACTCATCTGACCAGGTAACATATTTACAATCTTCTATTGTCCAATTTTGGTGAGCCTGTGCTAATTGTAGCCTCAGTTTCCTGTTGTTAGCTCACAGGAGTGGCACCCATTGTGGTTTTCTGCTGCTGTAACCCATCCACCTCAAGGTTCCATGTGTTGTGCGCTCAGAGATGCTCTTCTGCATACCTTGGTTGTATTGAGAGGTTATTTGAGTTACTGTTGCCTCTCTATCAATATGAACCAGGCCATTCTCCTCTGACCTCTGGAATCAACAAGGCATTTGCACCCACAGAACTGCCACTCACGTGATATTTTCTTTTTTTCTGACCATTCTCTATAAACTCTAGAGATGGTTGTGTGTGAAAATCCCAGTGGATTAGCAGTTTCTGAAAGACTCAGACCAGCCTGGTTTGCATCATTCTGATGCTCGGTTTGAACTGCAGTAGATTGTCTTGACCATGTCTATATGCCTACATGCTCTGAGTTGTTGCCATGTGATTAGAAAAATTGTGTTAACGAAGTTGAAGAGGTGTACCTAATAAAGTGGCCGGTGAGTGTGTATTTGATACAACAATGCAAATGCAGCTTTGGTAAACAAATTATTTTTTTACAGTGTAGATAAAAGGATAGTTCACCTCCCCCAAATAAATATTTTACACCCTCAAGTGGTTCCAGGATGTTTATGGGTTCTTTTTTCTGTTAAACAAAAACTAGAGGTCAATGGCTACCTGTTTACAACATTCTTCAAAACAAGTGAAGGATGAGTAAATGATGACATCATTTTATTTTTTGACTGAACTACCCCTTTAAATCAAGTAGAATTGAACTACTTTGATCCAAATAAGTAGTTTGTACTGGTAATGCTCAATTATCAGTTCATTATAAATGTTCCTAAAGCTGCATTGGAAAGCAAACATGTTAGCCTAACATCCAGCAGTGCTTTGATAAGGGTTATGAGGAGAGGTTGAGGGATATTGTTCTCTGATTGATACTGACGGGTTGGCAGCGGTTGCGTCTCTCCAGCAGTGGGGAGCTCAGGCCTGTGTGTTTGCACTGTATGCAGAGAGAAAGAGAAGGAGGAAGACAGCTGAATGTAAGTGCACAAAGATGAAAGACAAACAGGATACGTGACATTTTCCCACCCAATCCCATTTAGACACAGCTGGCCAGCACTACGCGGATTCTTGTACCACACCCAAATGTACAATAATGACACCCTGTCTGTCTGATAGAGCATGGTTGAAAGTTATGAGGAAAAACACACAAAACACACAACTTTCATACTTTATAACTTTTTTCATGTGGAAATACTAGGTAAATATTCAAATGCTTAAAAATCTTATTGAAAATCACTGATATAGTCTTGCGAAAATTATTTTAAATGATTGTTGGAGCAGCTTTTCCTTTTTCAGTTTTAAACGGCACCTATGATGAAAATCATCTTTTGTAAGTTGTCAATAAGTCTCTTTTTTTAATTTACTGATGTTCAAAAAGGATCCAAATCCCTCCTATTTTGTAGGCCCTCCGCAACGTGACATAGGAGTGCAGATTTTCTTGCCCATAGAATTGACAGCCTCTTATTAACATGTTTCCGTAATAACGCGTAAAATCATCAACAAAACAGGACGTGTGCAAAGTTACCAGGATTAAAAGATCTGTTCAGCTCTCTGTGATCATCAATCATCATCAAATGTGATCAAAAATGAGTTTTACAAGTGTAAAATATTTTTAAAACGCTGCATGTTTGTAATGAATTACAGCGATTTTGCCGTCTTTATCACCAAAGCAGCATGCAAGTACAATTATAGACGTTAACGTGGACGTTAAATCAGATTTATTTTGTACATTAAATTAACATATATGTTATGTCACTCAGCAGAGGATATTAAGTAATCTGTCACATTTGCTGAGCAAAAAAAGTGCAAAGTTAAACGAGCACGCTATATATATATATGTGTGTGTGTGTGTATGTGTGTGTGTGTGTGTGTGTGTGTGTGTGTGTGTGAGAGAGAGAACTTTACCTTGGGTCCATTCTTCGTACCTCGCTTAAATGATCTAAGATGATTTGACCGATCATGGATCTTTTAAACTTAACTGATCTCTGGCTAAACAAGTTCGCGAATCAGATTATAATGTCTGGATGAACTTATCTGAGATCTCAGAGTGTTGTGAAGGACAGATCTATCGAACCTCAAAATCATGATCAGCAATGCAATTATTGGCTGACGGCACAGCAGTGCAATGACATCATCCTATTAATATTTGATTATCCATGTGAGCAAAATTACATAAAATTCTTAGTAAACGGTTTGTTAAATATAATACGCAATAACTTTCCACCTTTGTTGTGGGCTGCAGGCTTTACACTTTCATGTGTCGAGTATTTAGCCATTTATTTAATTTTACATTCAAGTTTCTTAATCAGCGTAAGGAATAACTGGCTGTTTAAATTAATTTTGCATCAAAAGAGCATTTTGATATCGGTAATGTATACAACTTTAGCGAAGCATCAAATCACCGCCATATTTGCTGTTAAAACACGTATGTTGACTGCATAAATGATTATTCTTTTTTTTAAAGAAAAAAAAAAGTTAAATATTGTGCATGTCTATTATTATAAACAACGTGTACTAAAGCTTTTTGTACTTTCATTTCAGAGTTTTAGATTGCATAAGTTTTATACAATATTAATATATAATATTTATATATTTATATGTTATATAAACCTAAACTGAATATACTGTATATATATATATATATGTGTGTGTGTGTGTGTATTTGGTTATTTCACTACTTAGATAACCGTCAAACGGCATCTGGGTTACATTTTGAATTTCCACTTAGTAATAAACTTTTGGGACGACACTACATACATATACTATGCTCTTGAGTGTGTAAGTGCATAAGTACAAAGTGCATAAGTCAACCCAGGCTCTTTCTGAAAATGTACCTCTGTATACATTTCTGGGGAGCGCCAAATACGTCCAAGGAGCTACTTTTTTTTTGCTGTTTTTGTTTTCGCGAATCCACCAGAGGCTGCTGTGTACACTTTTTCAAATCTCAAATTTCTCTTGCGAGTGCCATTTGCGCCTTCTGTTCTTGCGTAAATTCACCAGAGGTCACTGTCTGACTGAATGACTCACCCTCCTCCTTCCCTAAACCTGGTTGTTTTCAAAAGCACTGATTGACCAGACCACCAACTTCCCTAAACCCAAACGACAGTTTTAAAAAGCAATCCAGAAAAGAAAAAGACCTCGCCTGATTTTACACATTATTAGATTTTTCCACAATCTCCCCCTTTTATTTACTTGTTTGTTTTATTTTTTGAATTTTGTTTGTGTCTTACCCGCTTTCTAGAAATGTTCTTTTCCGGACTCGAACCCTGTCGCCGTGGTCAACCCCTCTTAGCGTCTCAAGTCCGCTGACGTACATGCCGACCTACTGGAGAAACTAGTAACGGCAGGAAAGCAGTCCATACAGAGGTAAGCAGTCAGTTGGTAAGCATGAAAATGTAACCCAGGTTACTAGTGGGTAGTATACAGCAATAGAGCAAATAGAAATATAAGGAAAAAACATTGGCAGAATACTCGATTAAATAATATACATTAAAATTATTTACTTATATAAATAATTTATAATAGAGTATTATACAGCATTCAAGGGAATAGTGCTTTAGAATGACATCATCGTGCCTTACACTACAGCAGCAGATCAGCTTTCCAAACAATAACAAATCTCGCTTGTCTGTTAGCTTGTGTTTACCGTTGCTATGGTGATTCAGTGTTCGCAAGGGAAAGCAGAGATGTAAGTTGTTATATTAATAACAGCAGAAAACTATTAGATTTACATCTTTTAATGTTTTAATGCGTATTAACTGTGAAAATTGACCATTAATAAGATGCTGACATGATTTCAATCATATATTTTTAATGAAGGATTGAGAGAAAAAGACAAGATTTGTCTCTGAGAGTGAAATCTGCACACGAGTGCCACCTGGAGTTTTCCTATTTTTTTCGCTTTGATTTTGAATGATTTCCTTGGTGAGTTCGTGTTTTTATTATTTATTATTGTATTCATTATAACATGATTTAAACTAGTGTCGAAAAATGTGTTTCATTAATTAACCATTTGTTTGGTCTAGTAAAAACTCAAAGTATTATACACAGTATTATACAGAGTATTATACAAGTGATTGTGTAAAGTTTAAGTGAGAGAGTTTAAGTAAAATGCTGTCATTTGTAAAAAGAAAATGCCAAATAGGAGAGAGAAATAGGAAAAACACAGAAATTCAGCAGAGAGAAGCATATACATGGTTATTTACTGTTGCTGTTTATTTAGAAATGTGTTTATCTGAGATAATGCATACACTGTAAAATGCTAATGGTTTCTTTGGCCTTGTGTTTTCAAGGCCAGGTTT